GAGTCTGGGTATTAGGACAGCACTATTGCTGGTGGCTGGGTATTAGGACAACACTTTTACTGGTGGCTGGGTATTAGGAACAATTACTGGTGTCTGGATATTAGTACAACACTATTACTGATGGCTAGGTATTAGGACAACCCTATAACTGGTGGCTGGGTATTAGGACAACACTTTTACTGGTTAGGACAACACTATTACTGGTGGCTGGGGGTTAGGACAGCACAATTACTGGTGTCTGGGTATTAGGACAACACTATTACTGGTGGCTGGGTATTAAGACAACACTATTACTGGAGTCTGGGTATTAGGACAACACTATTACTGGTGGCTGGGTATTAGGACAACACTATTACTGGTGGCTGGGTATTAGGACAACACTATTACTGGTGGCTGGGTATTAGGACAACACTATTACTGGTGGCTGGGTATTAGGACAACACTATTACTGGTGGCTGGGTATTAGGACAACACTATTACTGGTGGCTGGGTATTAGGACAACACTATTACTGGTGGCTGGGTATTAGGACAACACTATTACTGGTGGCTGGGTATTAGGACAACACTATTACTGGTGGCTGGGTATTAGGACAACACTATTACTGGTGGCTGGGTATTAGGACAACACTATTACTGGTGGCTGGGTATTAGGACAACACTATTACTGGTGGCTGGGTATTAGGACAACACTATTACTGGTGGCTGGGTATTAGGACAACACTATTACTGGTGGCTGGGTATTAGGACAACACTATTACTGGTGGCTGGGTATTAGGACAACACTATTACTGGTGGCTGGGTATTAGGACAACACTATTACTGGTGGCTGGGTATTAGGACAACACTATTACTGGTGGCTGGGTATTAGGACAACACTATTACTGGTGGCTGGGTATTAGGACAACACTATTACTGGTGGCTGGGTATTAGGACAACACTATTACTGGTGGCTGGGTATTAGGACAACACTATTACTGGTGGCTGGGTATTAGGACAACACTATTACTGGTGGCTGGGTATTAGGACAACACTATTACTGGTGGCTGGGTATTAGGACAACACTATTACTGGTGGCTGGGTATTAGGACAACACTATTACTGGTGGCTGGGTATTAGGACAACACTATTACTGGTGGCTGGGTATTAGGACAACACTATTACTGGTGGCTGGGTATTAGGACAACACTATTACTGGTGGCTGGGTATTAGGACAACACTATTACTGGTGGCTGGGTATTAGGACAACACTATTACTGGTGGCTGGGTATTAGGACAACACTATTACTGGTGGCTGGGTATTAGGACAACACTATTACTGGTGGCTGGGTATTAGGACAACACTATTACTGGTGGCTGGGTATTAGGACAACACTATTACTGGTGGCTGGGTATTAGGACAACACTATTACTGGTGGCTGGGTATTAGGACAACACTATTACTGGTGGCTGGGTATTAGGACAACACTATTACTGGTGGCTGGGTATTAGGACAACACTATTACTGGTGGCTGGGTATTAGGACAACACTATTACTGGTGGCTGGGTATTAGGACAACACTATTACTGGTGGCTGGGTATTAGGACAACACTATTACTGGTGGCTGGGTATTAGGACAACACTATTACTGGTGGCTGGGTATTAGGACAACACTATTACTGGTGGCTGGGTATTAGGACAACACTATTACTGGTGGCTGGGTATTAGGACAACACTATTACTGGTGGCTGGGTATTAGGACAACACTATTACTGGTGGCTGGGTATTAGGACAACACTATTACTGGTGGCTGGGTATTAGGACAACACTATTACTGGTGGCTGGGTATTAGGACAACACTATTACTGGTGGCTGGGTATTAGGACAACACTATTACTGGTGGCTGGGTATTAGGACAACACTATTACTGGTGGCTGGGTATTAGGACAACACTATTACTGGTGGCTGGGTATTAGGACAACACTATTACTGGTGGCTGGGTATTAGGACAACACTATTACTGGTGGCTGGGTATTAGGACAACACTATTACTGGTGGCTGGGTATTAGGACAACACTATTACTGGTGGCTGGGTTTCAGGACAACACTATTACCGGTGGCTAGGTATTAGGACAACACTATTACTGGTGGCTGGGTATTAGGACAACGCTATTACTGGTGACTTGGTATTAGGACAACGCTATTACTGGTGACTGGGTATTAGGACAACACTATTATTGGAGGTTTGAGAGAGGCACAAGCAGTGAAGTGGTTTCTGGACGAATGCTCGAATTTTCTCTGTCCAATAAACTTTGACTAAACACAACAGTTACCATTTGAACAATCGGAAGCCTCCTGGCTTTGTAAAGTGCACGGTTAAACAGATAATAACAATCCCAAGCTTAGATCTCACCTGATGAGTGCTACGTTAATACCACGGGCGATAAGCTTTATAACAGATTCGTTAAAGTCTGTAGATAATGGATACAATCAATAGATCAGGAAGGTTTATAACCTCTATCGGCTTTGATTGACCGTAACAATTTATTTATCAGCCTTTGATGAACACGGATGACCATCATCGCCAAGTAGAATTTGTCCCTGAGGCTCAAATCTCGGCATGTGGTCTTGAACGGGAAGAGGAAATCTGCCGCACGCGAAGTCACTCTATGCTGGGATTAAGTCAAATCTCGCAAAAGGATCATGTGATAGAAACTAATGTATCTCTGTCCCGCCATGAGGTACACAAATAATACTTTAAGTGTCAAATATTCCCCCTAACCATTTCTCTCATTTTAATATTACTTTCTTGTTGTGTGCAGGAACCTGACAATTTGTTACAGTTTAGCTGAGTATGGTTTTGTTTAACGTCCTATTAACAGCTAACGTTATTTAAGGACGTGCCTCCATGTGTGTAGTGTATGCGTGCTTGAGTGTGTGAGGAAACAGGGTATGTTGGTGTGCTTGCCTCCTTGTAATAACGCGGATCTGATGTCGATACCATGCCGAAGGCACCCAGCACAGCATTCCGCCCGGTCACATTATACTGACAATGGTTGAACCACTTGTTGTCATTCCCCTAAATGCTCAACGTTAAGCAGGGAATAACAACTACCATTTTTAAGGACTTTGTTATGTCCCAGCTTGGGGACAGAGCCCATTGCCTTCCTCATCTGGGCGAACGCTCAACATTAAGGCAAAAAGTGAGGTGTTGCCAAGCAAAGCGCTAGGAAATAAAGGTAGTTAGTTGTATAAAGAAAGATAAAGATCCCAAATAGGGCAATAGAGGACATTTAAGAGGCTCATATCAACTTTCAATAAATATGGAACTCGTTTATACAATCATTGGGGGTATAAATATGAGGGTTTGGGGAAGCATTATCCCAACTTCTGATTTTATAAAATTCAACGAGAACTATTTTTTGTCATAGAACAGGAATAAATATTTAATTTGCATTGCATATTCTTTCTTGTTTTGTATTATTTACTTAACTTTAAAAAAAAATGTGTTTTTAAACAAAACTGTAAGTGAGGAGTAAACCTCTTTCGTAGCTATGCCGTATTTAAACCTACCGAGTCCATACAAAGAGTGCACATCTAAAGTAGTGTGTGTAACGTTAGGAGAGATATACATTGTGTAAGTCGGTCGGTAACTTATATTTGAATGTTAGCTGTATATAGATCTGTATCTATTTATGATGTCTGGGGATATTCGTGCCGACGTTCAATATCATTTGTAGGTAACTGAACCAAGTTCAGGTAATTTATCCCGGAGTAATAATTACCGACGTATCGATACAGTACCGACGTTTATAGTCAGGGACAATAATTAGGTGGTAATTAGCTTTAATTACAGGAGCATGTCGAGGGTTGGAATGTTGGTTCCTACTGACAGCGAGTTACGTTTGAATAAGATGATGTACGTGTATCTTTACTTTGGCACGTATTACGGGGGCAGATTAAACTATGATAAGTATGTTTTAGTTCGGGAGAGTGAATGTAATGTATGCATTGTATATGGGTGGTCGGGTGGCGCAGTGGGTAATGCACTCGCCTTTCACCAAGGTAGGCGGTGTCTGATTCCCCGATTGGACGTGAAAAGGTATGGGGTCACTTTATAAGCTTGCCCAACCAGTTGACGTGGGTTTTCTCCGAGTACTCCGGTTGCCTTCTACATTCAGACCCCCCGCCCCGCGCCAACATCCGGGCCATAAGAGTGATTAATATAAGTTGTAATAACTTGTTATACAATTGTTGTAATATAAAACATAAATGAAATTTTATATATACATGTAGATATAAGTAAAATATAATTTAATAAAATAAAGGATCGAAATTGTTCCTTCGGTATACATTAATTGGTTTATCGTACCCTTCACTCTACTGTCTGTAACTCAGGCTTCTGACCGGCTACGGCGAGGTTTGTGTCGATTTAGACGACACCCGGATGCATATTTCAGTACAGATTTTGGGCGTTACGATAATTGGTCTGAGCAAAAGGAGAGAATATGGTCTCCGGAGTGTGTCTAGATTTTTAAAAAAAAACTATCTTTAGTTATTTTACATTAACCCATGATTTGCTAATATCGCTAATCATTAACAATTTCACCACAAAAAGAAAACAATACCCAAGCATAACCCCTAACACCAAAATGTGCTTTTCTTATATGAGATAAATGGGTTGAACCAGCATTGTAGTATACTTATTCACCACTTCTTATTGCAGGTAAGATGTTAGTGAAGCTTCGCTAAAATTCGTTATCATGAAACAACATGGCGGTCATGATCACATGGTGAAATATGTTAGCGAATTCGAAGCTTCATTAAAATCGGTGTTGTGCATTAGGAGGAGTAGTGCAAACAAGTAAAGTCTACACGCAAACATCTCTACAAAGTAGCTTGATTTAAGAGTACACCTAAATCCTCGTTGCGGAGAAGAAGAAAAAATAAAACTAGTAGAATATCATGTATATTTGATTATTGATAAAATCCTTCAAGTGCGTTATCTTGGTTTGTTTACAGATCGAGTATCAGATACTGATATAGTCCTGTGGTAGTTGATACGGACGAGTGGACGGACACACATGAAAGGACAGATGCAAGTGCTTCCCCCGACCGTCCTGTTCCACGATGATCAGGAGTTCCATGACTACAAGATGAGAGACTACCACCGACCCTCGTTAGACAGTATCTCAGAAAACAACGACGATAACAATAACGAGAACAGCAAAGATTGTAGTAGTTCGTCGCTGGTAGGGACTCCTCTGATCACCATAACCGGATGTGACGTACATGACGATAACGGAAACGGAAGTGCATCAAATAATACGTCTCCGGTGAACAATTTAACCGGAAGTGATTCTGATCTCAGTCGTTTGAAGTTAACCGCCACGAGGCTCAGACTAGGTACGAGGAGAGCTAGTTATGTGGAATGGCGGGAAAAATACTTAGATCGTCCACGGCGAAGATCTAAACCGGATTTAAAATTAGATTTCGACGAAAATGGAAACGACAGTGATAAACTTACAGATGAACGAAAAGAACGAATAAATGACGCACTGGGATGGCTGAGGACAGAACTGGTAAGTGTGAGGAGATTTAGCGAGATATGTTCCTAACGACACTTCGACAATATAGAAAACAATATCAAAGTTTTAATATTACATTCTGCAATCTCGAAGTTTTAATACCAGGTATTACAAACGGTACGTTGCAAAGTTTAAATATGAAATACAGTACATTCGAAGTTCTAATTTAATTTAATTTCAGAGTTCTAATATAAAAAAAAAACACACATTTTGGAGATACAGCACATCTCAAGTTTCTAAAACGGTATTAACTTTTTAAGCTGTACCAATCCAGGGTAATGGTGAATTTAATCAGTGACGGAACATTTCAAAATTCCCAATTTGCAATGGAAGGGAATTAACTCTTGTTGCTATATCTACGTCGGATGTGTGACAGCGGCACGATTATTTTGTCAACACAATTTACCCTTCCTTCAATAAATATCGTTCAGTTACTCAATGTATGTCGGCAGAAATACTCAGAGGTTTTGTAATTTCAGAAGACATGATGTGAGGGCAAGTTACCAAGAACTAAATTTGTGATAATCTACAAAGCCCCTTGAATATATATGATGCATGTATATAGAATTTCCTAAAGTTAGCGTTTCATGTGAGATTAAAACGAATCAAGGGTTATTTTAAGTTTAAAGAGTCTTCAAACGAAAAACAAAATAACAATGCTATGTTTTGTTAATCTCGTATGATATGGAAACGGATTTCAAATTTATATATATTCCTCTGTGAAACTGTAATAATATGGTGTTACACTCCTGTGTAAAACTGTAATAATATGGTGTTTCAATCTGTAAAACTGTAATGATATGGTGTTACACTCCTCTATAAAACTGTAATAATATGCTGTTACACTCCTCTGTAAAACTGTAATAATATGGTGTTACTCTCCTCTATAAAACTGTAATAATATGGTGTTACACTCCTCTGTAAATCTAATAATATGGTGTTACACTCCTCTGTAAAACTGTAATAATATGGTGTTATACTCCTCTGTAAAACTGTAATAATATGGTGTTTCAATCTGTAAAAATGTAATAATATGGTGTTACACTCCTCTGTAAAACTGTAATAATATGGTGTTACACTCATCTGTAAAACTGTAATAATAGCGTGTTACACTCTGTAAAACTCGAATAATATGGTGTTTCAATCTGTAAAACTGTAATAATATGGTGTTATACTCCTCTGTAAAACTAATAATATGGTGTTACACTCCTCTGTAAAACTGTTATAATATGGTGTTACACTCCTCTGTGAAACTGTAATAATATGGTGTTTCAATCTGTAAAACTGTAATAATATGGTGTTACACTCCTCTGTAAAACTGTAATAATATGGTGTTTCAATCTGTAAAACTGTAATAATATGGTGTTACACTCCTCTGTAAAACTGTAATAATATGGTGTTACACTCCTCTGTAAAACTGTAATAATATGGTGTTACACTCCTCTGTAAAACTGTAATAATATGGTGTTACACTCCTCTGTAAAACTGTAATAATATGGTGTTACACTCCTCTGTAAAACTGTAATAATATGGTGTTACACTCCTCTGTAAAACTGTAATAATATGGTGTTACACTCCTCTGTAAAACTGTAATAATATGGTGTTACACTCTGTATTAGATGTAATTGACTATAGCGATAATGCTGATTTCAGGAGGAGATGCGGTCACAGGACCAGGCGTTGGCGAGGACGCTGCTGTCCCTACGTCACGACATCCATCAACTCAAGCTCCAGAGGAGCTGTGACGCTCACAAGGACATGCTGGAGGAGATGACACTAGATATGGAGGACATGCACGAGCTACGGGAAATTTCCGACAGCCCCTCGGACGTTCTAGAAAACCCGTTCAAACATTTGGGAGTGACTCCAATGAATTTATCCGCACGAAGATTTTCAATATTTTGATATTTTATTTTTCATTTTAATGGTTGTGAATTATTGTTGAATTTTAGCTATCAAAATACATTGTGTTCCACGAACTTGATAAATGCTATCACAATTGAATCAACAGATAGGACACACATATTGAATATAACGTTATTAGAATACATAGAATAAAAACAAGCAAACACAAAGAGTGTTATGATTTGCGCGTTTGCAATGAGAATAAGAACACATACTGAAGTGCCTGTACACAATTAGTGATCACGTGATCATCATGTACCGTGTGTTGAGGCCACCTGAAGTGTGTGGAGACTGGATTTTTACACAAAAGTTATTTTTGTCCAAAAAGATAACTATTATTGTTTGGTTGGGGATTGGGCTGGGACGGATCATAATCTCGTATATCTGTCTTGAACTTATTGGATTATTGAACGTAAATGTATTGGAGTAAGGGGGGAGGGGGGAGGGGGGAGGTTATCAAATGTATTGGAGCAATTGGGGGTTGGTTTATAACATTCAGTACCGAGTAGTTAGTAAATTATAAATTATATTTGAAAATAAACGCACGAGATTGGATATTGGATCATAATCAATTCCCATAAGTTGGATATATAATTATTACCGGTATAAAACCTACCTTTTATTCTGACTACTATGATCAGAAGACGTTGTGAAAATGTACAAATGTTGATACTGCTGGTAACAATACCTACTCGGCAGAATGTGTGGTATATGGATTGCACGGATTGTTTAAAAGATAGTTATAGCGGATTGAACGCAAATCAGTTTCATCCATATCGCATGATGCCGCTAGGGGTTAATCAATGGATGTAACCGATTTGCGTTCATACCGACATGAATGTTTTAAAATCCATTCAATACGTAAGGTTACATTTTGAATTCATTATTATTGGGTATCTTGAGTATAGGTATACAGTTATAGTTATAGTAATGAAGTTTATGTAGCGTCAGTTCATACGACATTCCTTGAGCAGTCTAGTTTAATGCCATCTAAATGATTGTGACGATCTCCAGCTCATTCTGTGGTAAAGCCAGATTTTTGACAAAATCTCGTTTTATACAAGAAGTTCATAAAAGATCACAGTGCGTAATGGAGATAAATTCTAGTTGATTTGCAGTTAAATGTTACGAACAAAATAATTCAGACACTTGATTGTTATCCCTTGTGAATTCTCGGTCGAACCAGTGACTGGAAAGATGGTGCTCCTTCAAACATACAGAATTAGTTAAGACCATTATTGCAAGGTTCTTAGGTTGGATTTTTGCAGCAATGGAAGAGGTTAGGGATGAAAGCGTATATAATGTCCTGTTTAACCTTCGACACCCATAATTCTACACACAAGTTATTTAGTTGTTGCATTGTACCAATGTATCGGTGGAAGGGCGTGTCTGTCGAACTCTCCGATATGTCTACCGGTAGTTGCTCTGGTATGAAAGTACACATTTATAAAATCGCTTTCGAGAAATAATAAAAACATATACTTAACCATTGCTTTTCTTATTTTCTTTCCATTTGTACTTAAGTACTAAACATATAGGATAATTTTATAACGTTGACTCGTTACGTTTCAATAACTTTACATTTAAACGAAATATTGTCAGACACTCAATAGGGGTTTTATTTCAGGTCAGCCCTGGCGAACCGTATCGACTTTCGTTCGTCATGCTTGTTCATTATGTTTAACCAATCAATTATCTGATTAGTTAATTGGACGGTCAGGCTGTTCATTAGACACCAGATGAGAGCTAAGACAACGTGGTAGGTCAATGACTGGGGAAGGGGGAGATGCCTACATGGAGCCCGTATTTATAGAACCGTTATCATGCTCAAGAATGGATTCTTTGCTAAAACCAACTTTCTTGTAACTTTCTTATATGTTATGACACTGTCAACAAACACAGTTGAAATCGGCCCAGTAGTTTTGGAGGAGTTGTCCGGATAATGATTATTCAACAAAGGGCCATAACTCCGTAAAAAGGGGGTTAGAATTAAAAAAAAACCAGGATGCACAACAGTAGAGGGATTGTTATCATATATTTAAAACTGTTTTTAGAGGAGTTGTCCAGACAAGATATTACAGACAACAGACATGGTGATTCCAGTTTAACCTCAAACTTCCTTGTGGGGGTATAATAAGATATAAGAACAGTCTCAAATACGTGATCATTTAGCAATTTTATAAAAATCTAAAATCAACAATGACGGGAGTTTCAACATTCTGATTTATTAATTATTATTCATAATCATTGTCAATATAATTAAAATACATGTACAATAAATTCAATATATATTATATCACAGATTGCATATCATCGGCATGTTCTGAAATGTATAAAACATTAACAACATGGATATAAATGGTGAAATTGTTGTCTAACATTAGACAAGTCCTGAAAGGATCACATAGAAACAAATAGGGGGTGGGGGTATTAACACTATACCGCTTCCAGGAAACTTGACATCAATTATCAGTAGACAGATTTGGATAACTGAAAAAAATGTGGCCATACAGCAATTGTAGGATAGCTGACCAACCATTAGTGGGGGCTGGGCGGATGTGGCTAGGCTATACATCAGGGTTTGCCTATTCTCTTCTAATTCTTTACAATGTTATATACATTAATTTTGTAGGAAACACCTGTTTAATACAAACATTTAAAGGCACCACTTGTCGTATTATTTATATATATTTAACATATTTAACACAGCCTTATGCTAATTTCAGGTTTAAAAACACAGGTGGAATGTAAATTTGAGGGCATTACTTCTTCGGTATAATTTGAGGGCATAACTTCTCTAGTGATAATTACTGTATACAGATTCATTTCTGTGTCATTTATATAACTTTTTCATAGAATGACCGAAAACAACAGTGGACACAAATAATGATGTAAGTAAAAGTTCATAAAATTTGTTAACTTAAAATTGAACAATTTCAGCACAATATCAATACTGCTCGAAAACAACATTGACAAAACAAAATCAAAATCAACATCACATAAACACAGCATACTGATATTGGTAATCTTGTCCCAGGAATAAACATGAACAAGAATGATTCATGGACAGATCCTAATTATGATTATTTGAATGCTTTTAATCATGACCAGATACAGGTATTACCCGAGATGTTTTAATTGTATTCATTTACATAATTCGATCAAAAATCAATCTATTTATAAAACAAATACCTATAATTTAAATCAACCCGTTTTACAACATGTACCGGTCAATTTTATGAACTAAATGTCTTGTACATACGTTATGTGATATGTATGTTTGTGAAATACAAAAAAAAAGAAACGGGAAGACATCAACATAGACAAAAAAATGCATAAAAAGCGGATTGGAATGGCAAGTTTAAGTTTATCCACATATTCTGTTTAATTGTATTTATCTATGAACACAAAACTTGAATATATTCCGACATATAAAGCTAGATTATAAAAAATAACTTTATTCACATTGTGTTAAGACTTTTCTCCCATACAATTCCAGAAGGGCGAAACTTGATTGTAGCCTGCCTTCTGCACCTGTTGCCGGTGGCAAGAGGGCTCCACCACTTCATTGGGTCCTGTTAGTGCATGCATTTTTAATACATGTTGGAATGCAAAGGGGAGAAAGGCAATCCCATGTATAAGTTTCTGCACTGATGTGTAGAAAATGTCCGAGTCGTCAACTTGTCATCAGCTCCAATGCAGATATTGTTCAATATACATACTGATTGGATAATTATGGAATTTTCTACTTATTTGATCTCTCACCGAATATTATATATTAAATGATTGAGATTGCAACACAGTCCTCTCCTTCATACCAAATCAGCTCAAAAATATGACGGCCAGCCCCAACATAATAAATCACTTTGAACTAAAATATGCCAGCAGCATTTTCAATACCAATATCTTAACATTAGGAAAGTTGAAAAAATGTCCTTCCACGAAAAAATTCTAACTTCACCAGAGACAGCAAGCACATCAATGTCTCAACAGAGGAATAGTCTGAGAAGTTTCCACGCACAAAAACCTACCTTTACTATAGACCTCAATGTATCTTGCTATGACAGCTGTCCCTGATTATTGCACCTTAACAATATGTTCTGGGCTACAGATTTTTATCCAATATGAATAACTATATAATCTTTGATCTTTCAATATCTAAAACCTGTTCAGTATGACTTCTATTCATGAAATCTAGCTTGATGCTGTGACATCAAAGTTTTGACGCTCTCAAAGGATGGGCAAAATTGCTGGTGTCACCTCTCATTGGCTTCAAGTATTTCTCGTATGAATCCAGCACCTGTAAGAAACATCATTGTCATATTTCAAATATGATGGTGAAGTGGTTAGAAGCGAGTTTTCAGGTACTGCTTGGCGTTTTAAATAGAATTTTTCGCAAATTTTTCAACAGGGGTCTGGGTCTTTAATAAACAAACTGAGAAACACTTTTTAAATGATACCGTAATAAAGAATAATAAACTTTTGGATACAATTACAACACAATATTTGGTTCTGAACAATATACTGAACAAATAAATATTTAAAACAAATCCAGGGACACAGCATTGCCCAGATTAAAAAACCATATTGTCTTTTGACAAGAGTATAATGTGTCTACTTGCCTCAGACAGACCAGAGGAGGGTGATCTATTGAATATTTCTTTGAATACCTTTTTAATTTTTTAATATATAAATATAAACTTAATTTATTTTACAACAATTATGAAACAAGTCATTTCAACTTATATTAATCACTCTTGTTGGCCCGGATGTTAGCGTGTGGGGGTCTTAATGTGGGAGGAAACCGGAGTACCCGGAGAAAACCTGCGTGGTTAGGCAGGTGACCCCAACCTTGTCACTTCCGATCGGGGAATCGAACCCTGGCCGCCTTTGTGAAACGCATGTGCGCTATCCACTGCACCACCCGACCACCCAATAAGAGGTAAGACACTCAAACTCTGATGTGATACCACATGTTGTGCAACTTAAACACTTAACCATTGTGACAGTTGATATGAATGCCTCCTCAAACAAATTTCGATGCCTAACATTAACTATTCCCTCTAGTACGGCGACTTAACTGATTTATAATCCTAAGTGTAATTCACAGGTTACAGTGTAAAAAAAATTAATATCAAATATACATACCCGTAATTGTTTTGAAAATATATTTCTGATAAAAAATTATATGATTGCTGAAGCTATTTTCCATTAAATATGTACTTATAGATAGTTATATCTGAATTTAAGAAAGTACTTTAATTTTCAAATACATCCCGCTTAGCCAGCTAGCAAGCAGACCGTTCCATTTTAAGATTTTATTTTTATTTTTGACACAGGAGTCCAGGGGAACTAAATAACTTGTAAATTCTAGACTCGACTCAGGCTTGTGTTATACTAGTTAGGTGTAAACTTTGTTTTAATTGATTTCGTTATTTATGTTCATAATGTGATAACCAAAATACTTCTGTGAGAGAATAACAGCACATACACTTGTTTAGAACCTCTGTTAATCTGTATACTAAACATCAAAGCTCTCCTGTGCCTGGGCCCACTTGTATAAAACATCTCAAAGTTAAGGAAAATCTCAAGCAATGTATTGTCTATTGGAAATCTTAAGACTTAAGGAAATCTCAAGGGTTGAGATGTTTTATGCAAGTGGGCCTTGGCACTTAGAAATATATACTTAGTCTATATATATATATAGTGCTCATAGCTTGCAAAGATTTTATTTCCGCTAAAATATTCCTATAGAAAAATTGTTATACAGCAGCTACCAAACATATGCATGCTGCCATTCAAATATCCAGTTTTGCATGTATTAGACTGTTTATGGTACTGGATGAAAACTAAACTAAAAGAATTTAGACCAGAACAGCAATGCAAATATCTGACTTTGTCATATCAAAACGAGGCATACAGTGGGTGTATACTGATTTGTAAACTGGCTGACCTATACAGCAACACATTCTGATCATTTCCATCAACTTACATCTTTCTGATTAAGGGGAGATGACTTAGCGTAGTCGTACAGGGCCTGGTACACATTGCCGTCGTAGCGACCGAGACACGAGCTGAGGAGAGCGTCGGGGTAGTCGAAGGCGTCCACGAGAGCGACGGCGTTGTGACGTATCTCCTTCATGAGTGCCATTAGTTTACCTGTCACAGCCTCCACCTGGCTGGTACTCAGGTATCCGTCCTGTCAACACAAATACGGTCTTTATCTTAACTAAATTTGTTTGGTGAAGCTTTTTAACGTACCTTTTCATTGGTTGAAATTTCGAAAACATTAATTTGGTAGATTTATCTACTCAATGAGATATTCAAATCAACTTTTTATTCTGCTGCATACAATAATTTTAACAAGGCAAAGTATTATGATAACAAGGCAAAATATTGTGGTAACAAGGCAAAATATTGTGGTAACAAGGCAAAGTATTGTGGTAACAAGGCAAAAAATTGTGGTAACAAGGCAAAATATTGTGGTAACAAGGCAAAATATTGCAAGTCAATCCATAGTCCCCAATGTGTGATGATGTTTTTGTTGACTGAGCTTCACTCCAGAAACTAAGACATACTTACATACCAAACCTGGTTACTCCAGTGTAGAAGATATACTCCAGACAAACTTTTTCAAAGGATGAGGTCAAAGGTCAAACCATGTCACAGTGACCTACTTTTTATACTTGACACTCTGTCATTCCAAGATTTACATGCAAACCAAATCTGATTACTCAAATTAAAACTGTCAGAAGATATACCCCGAAAGTCTATTTGGACGGACGGAAATCGGACGGACGGGCATTCGGTAGGATGGACAGACAAAGTACAAGCCTATATATATGATCCCTTTGGAATCGATGGGGGACTAAGTAACATTCATTCATTTCAAACTAATTATATTGATGGACTTGCAAAGATTTGGATCAGGTAAACCGATGAATCTTTGGCTTGTAAGATGAGAAAGTGAAAGGTTTCACCAAACTAAAGACATGATAAAGAGTTTGACTCTAGTTTGATAATAAATGATTTGATTCATAAGCTAAGTTTACCTGTATAAATTCTCCAAGGTGTTCCATAACGCCATGTACAGCGTAGAGTTTACATAGAGATGTTAGGACGTTCAGCACCTGGTCGTCTAAGTTACTCTCTGTTACCATGGCAACAAACGCCTTGACAACATAGGTGTGACAGTGAGCCTGTGAAATAGAAATCCCAATCATATCAAACATTATAACGGAGAAACCAACCCTTGCAGCAGCTGATTCTTAGGGAAGTAATAAAATTAATATCTCTTGAATCCTCAATTTGCTGAACTTTATTTTGAGAATACTGTTTACAGTTATAATATGTAATATTATTGGTCACTAGCATATGAGCAATCTAACTAACGTAACGTAGTGTAATGAGAGATCTAGTTTTAATTAGATTGGTATATGAGTTGTTTTGTATCCATTTTTCCTAGCCATAAGACATCAAAATATTTTTAACCTTTCCATTTCTGCTTTCCTTATACAAATGCAATGCAAATGAAAACATTTGAAAATGAAAATGACAATCAATAATTGTTTGTGTGAAAGTGGAAGTGAGATGAGTGTGTGTGAGATTTTCAGCTACCAGTATTACAAATGTACTTTACATTGCATAAAAAAAATCTGGGAAAAAAATAATTACAAAAAAACCCCACATTTTATCCTATGAATGAGTATCTGTTTTCAAGTATATCAAACTTTAGTCATTATAGCATTCTCCCAAAATGTTCATTTTCTACTATGGAAGGTCTGTGTTATGAATATGTACACAGCTAATCAGAACTGGATTGGTATCAAAAATATTTATAACAAGAACACACATGTACAAATTTTACATCACTAACAGGATTTTCTGTACAAGTTGAACTGTATTTATCCCACAGTCACCCTAAAAATGTTCTGGTAAACAACCTGTTTTTCTCACAAGGTCTGTTAGAAGCACTCACTGATAAAACCTACCCGTGATGCCCAAACTAACTGTGATCACACACTGATAAACCTACCCGTGATGCCCACACTAACTGTGATCACACACTGATAAAACATACCCGTGATGCCCACACTAACTGTGATCACACACTGATAAACCTACCCATGATGCCCACACTAACTGTGATCACACACTGATAATACCTACCCGTGATGCCCACACTAACTGTGATCACACACTGATAAAACCTACCCGTGATGCCCACACTAACTGTGATCACACACTGATAAAACCTACCCGTGATGCCCACACTAACTGTGATCACACACTGATAAACCTACCCATGATGCCCACACTAACTGTGATCACACACTGATAAAACCTACCTGTGATGCTCACNAAGTTAAGGAAAATCTCAAGCAATGTATTGTCTATTGGAAATCTTAAGACTTAAGGAAATCTCAAGGGTTGAGATGTTTTATGCAAGTGGGCCTTGGCACTTAGAAATATATACTTAGTCTATATATATATATAGTGCTCATAGCTTGCAAAGATTTTATTTCCGCTAAAATATTCCTATAGAAAAATTGTTATACAGCAGCTACCAAACATATGCATGCTGCCATTCAAATATCCAGTTTTGCATGTATTAGACTGTTTATGGTACTGGATGAAAACTAAACTAAAAGAATTTAGACCAGAACAGCAATGCAAATATCTGACTTTGTCATATCAAAACGAGGCATACAGTGGGTGTATACTGATTTGTAAACTGGCTGACCTATACAGCAACACATTCTGATCATTTCCATCAACTTACATCTTTCTGATTAAGGGGAGATGACTTAGCGTAGTCGTACAGGGCCTGGTACACATTGCCGTCGTAGCGACCGAGACACGAGCTGAGGAGAGCGTCGGGGTAGTCGAAGGCGTCCACGAGAGCGACGGCGTTGTGACGTATCTCCTTCATGAGTGCCATTAGTTTACCTGTCACAGCCTCCACCTGGCTGGTACTCAGGTATCCGTCCTGTCAACACAAATACGGTCTTTATCTTAACTAAATTTGTTTGGTGAAGCTTTTTAACGTACCTTTTCATTGGTTGAAATTTCGAAAACATTAATTTGGTAGATTTATCTACTCAATGAGATATTCAAATCAACTTTTTATTCTGCTGCATACAATAATTTTAACAAGGCAAAGTATTATGATAACAAGGCAAAATATTGTGGTAACAAGGCAAAATATTGTGGTAACAAGGCAAAGTATTGTGGTAACAAGGCAAAAAATTGTGGTAACAAGGCAAAATATTGTGGTAACAAGGCAAAATATTGCAAGTCAATCCATAGTCCCCAATGTGTGATGATGTTTTTGTTGACTGAGCTTCACTCCAGAAACTAAGACATACTTACATACCAAACCTGGTTACTCCAGTGTAGAAGATATACTCCAGACAAACTTTTTCAAAGGATGAGGTCAAAGGTCAAACCATGTCACAGTGACCTACTTTTTATACTTGACACTCTGTCATTCCAAGATTTACATGCAAACCAAATCTGATTACTCAAATTAAAACTGTCAGAAGATATACCCCGAAAGTCTATTTGGACGGACGGAAATCGGACGGACGGGCATTCGGTAGGATGGACAGACAAAGTACAAGCCTATATATATGATCCCTTTGGAATCGATGGGGGACTAAGTAACATTCATTCATTTCAAACTAATTATATTGATGGACTTGCAAAGATTTGGATCAGGTAAACCGATGAATCTTTGGCTTGTAAGATGAGAAAGTGAAAGGTTTCACCAAACTAAAGACATGATAAAGAGTTTGACTCTAGTTTGATAATAAATGATTTGATTCATAAGCTAAGTTTACCTGTATAAATTCTCCAAGGTGTTCCATAACGCCATGTACAGCGTAGAGTTTACATAGAGATGTTAGGACGTTCAGCACCTGGTCGTCTAAGTTACTCTCTGTTACCATGGCAACAAACGCCTTGACAACATAGGTGTGACAGTGAGCCTGTGAAATAGAAATCCCAATCATATCAAACATTATAACGGAGAAACCAACCCTTGCAGCAGCTGATTCTTAGGGAAGTAATAAAATTAATATCTCTTGAATCCTCAATTTGCTGAACTTTATTTTGAGAATACTGTTTACAGTTATAATATGTAATATTATTGGTCACTAGCATATGAGCAATCTAACTAACGTAACGTAGTGTAATGAGAGATCTAGTTTTAATTAGATTGGTATATGAGTTGTTTTGTATCCATTTTTCCTAGCCATAAGACATCAAAATATTTTTAACCTTTCCATTTCTGCTTTCCTTATACAAATGCAATGCAAATGAAAACATTTGAAAATGAAAATGACAATCAATAATTGTTTGTGTGAAAGTGGAAGTGAGATGAGTGTGTGTGAGATTTTCAGCTACCAGTATTACAAATGTACTTTACATTGCATAAAAAAAATCTGGGAAAAAAATAATTACAAAAAAACCCCACATTTTATCCTATGAATGAGTATCTGTTTTCAAGTATATCAAACTTTAGTCATTATAGCATTCTCCCAAAATGTTCATTTTCTACTATGGAAGGTCTGTGTTATGAATATGTACACAGCTAATCAGAACTGGATTGGTATCAAAAATATTTATAACAAGAACACACATGTACAAATTTTACATCACTAACAGGATTTTCTGTACAAGTTGAACTGTATTTATCCCACAGTCACCCTAAAAATGTTCTGGTAAACAACCTGTTTTTCTCACAAGGTCTGTTAGAAGCACTCACTGATAAAACCTACCCGTGATGCCCAAACTAACTGTGATCACACACTGATAAACCTACCCGTGATGCCCACACTAACTGTGATCACACACTGATAAACCCTCCCCGTGATGCCCACACTAACTGTGATCACACGCTGATAAAACCTACCCGTGATGCCCACACGAACTGTGATCACACGCTGATAAAACCTACCCGGGATGCCCACACTAACTGTGATCACACACTGATTAAACCTACCCGTGATGCCCACACTAACTGTGATCAGACACTGATAAAACCTACCTGTGATGCCCACACTAACTGTGACCACACACTGATAAAACCTACCCGTGATGCCCACTCTAACTGTGATCACACACTGATAAAACCTACCCATGATGCCCACACTAACTGTGATCACACACTTATAAAACCTACCCGTGATGCCCACACTAACTGTAATCACACACTGATTAAACCTACCCGTGAAGCCCACACTAACTGTGCTCACACACTGATAAAACCTACCCGTGATGCCCAAACTAACTGTGATCACACACTGATAAACCTACCCATGATGCCCACACTAACTGTGATCACACACTTATAAAACCTACCCGTGATGCCCACACTAACTGTGATCACACGCTGAAAAAACCTACCCGTGATGTCCACACGAACTGTGATCACACGCTGATAAAACCTACCCGTGATGCCCACACTAACTGTTGTGCTGTATTGTTCCAAGCTTGTTGCTGACTCTGACCTTCCTCCACAACCAGCCTCTTGATGTTCCTGGCCGCAACCTGCACCAATCTTAAGGAGCAACATAAACCATGTCATTACAATTAAGACACATTAAAGCTTGACATTATTACTTGTTTTAATATTTTTAACGAAGGATGCGTGCTCACTGATAAACATTTATTTTTGCATGATATGATACCTTTTGGTAGAACTTACATTAATTGTAGAATTTGAAGAAAAAAAAATCTGCTTGATCCCATGGGAGATAGTGGTCTGCTATAATTTTGTTGTTCAACAAAATTCATGTCAGTTTAAATTGGTTTAGAAAAAGGCAAGTATTGTATTGAATGCAGGGGTTTTCCCCTACTAGACAAACTTCAGGGGCAAATAGTAAAAAGAAAATTGCCATAATTCTACAATGTAACGTAGTCAATTTTCAATCTATGAAACTAAGAAAGGAAAAATCGAACAAAAATATGCTTATATTTAGAAACCTTACCTGGCTGCTCTGTGCTCGTATGCCTGGACCAGACAGTCAAGAGCGACATCAGACTTCATACACGATTTGGCAGACAGGTCTGTGTTGAGATAGGATACAAATCCAGGTAGCTTTTCTCCATTTTCAACTTTGGCAAAACATTTCATCAGGTACCTAGAGTGTAATAAACATTTTAGCATCTTTAGAACTAAAGTACCTGTCAGGTCAAGGATCAAAATCCAGGGAAAGTGGACTGTCTAAGGTATAAAGAGGCCCTTTTCTAACCAAACTGTTCTAGGACAAGCACAAATCTGTGTACAGACCCCAAACACTCCGAGAAATAGCCTTAATATTAACTAGATATAGGTTTTACTGGAGGAGTAGGAGGAGTCAAACCCTGGTAGCCTGATTGTGTTCATCTTTTCATGCCTAGTAAGCAAAAGCATGCTAGCCAACTCTCCCTATAGCTATTTAGCTAAATATTGAACATTTTCAATAGGTGAATTTTCTAAACCATTCCTATTTTCTAAGATCTGATGATTTTACCCGAAGGAACAGCTCAAAGGATGCCATTTATGAGTGTTATTGTTTCTCTAGGGTGTACATACACACATTCTATTCGTAAATTCATGAAAATTTTAAAAAAGTTGGCAGGTATGGAAAAGGTTGCAGGGTATAGGATATTAATAAACCCAGGTCTAGAGTCAAAATAAGAAGGCCCTTAAATATTTTTACTCATAGTAGCCCAGGGCCAATTTAACCCCAGATATATCAAGGTCATCAGTCATATGAGAACGTGTTATAGCAATCCGCCCCAGGTACCTACTGGCCACATAGCGTGACCGGGCCTTAGAGAACATGTTATAGCAATCCGTCCAAGGTACCTACTGGCCACATAGCGTGACCCAGACCTCAGAGAACATGTTATAGCAATCCGTCCCAGGTACCTACTGGCCACATAGTGTGACCCGGACCTTAGAGAACATGTTAGAGCAATCCGTCCAAGGTACCTACTGGCCACATAGCGTGACCGGAC